TACTATGTGTTTGTATTGTAAGTGCATATGAGTACTATGTGTTTGTATTGTAAGTTCATATGAGTACTATGTGTTTGTATTGTAAGTTCATATGAGTGCCATGTGTTTGTATTGTAAGTTCATATGAATACTATGTGTTTGTATTGTAAGTTCATATGCGTACTATGTGTTTGTATTGTAAGTGCATATGAGTGCTATGTGTTTGTATTGTAAGGTCATATGAGTGCTACGTGTTAGTATTGTATGTTCGCCTATATGAGTGCTTTGTGGTTGTGATGTGTGTACCACCAGGGCTAAGTATATTGCATCCGCGCTTCAAGTTGAGAGTGCCACACCCATCTGGTAATGAGGAACATTGCTACGGTGACCTCACTGAGGCTAATTCTGGTGATTGAGTCGACGCTTCAGCAACCTATAGTCACTGCGTGACCCACTATATTACTGAAGATTAGTTCGTTATCGGAATCGCTACATGCTTGGGCACGAGTGTTCTTTTCTTTCTCTTCCTTTCTTTTCTTGTCCGGAAGCCACCCCCACACCCCGAGGAGCATACTAATCTGTTGGTTGTACGTGCGATTTATTCCCGGAGGGTGTCTACACGTGTAGGGCTTCATGGACCTGAAAAATATAGCAACTCTGAACAATATGTATTCCACGTGTAACATGCCTGCATGCACATGCACACACACACAAACACGCATACACACGAGTGCTAACATATGTATGAGAGTACACACATACACACGAGTGCTAACATATGTATGACAGTTAACATATGTATGAGAGTACACGCATACACACGAATGCTAACATATGTATGAGAGTTAACATATGTATGAGAGTACACACATACACACGAGTGCTAACATATGCATGAGAGTTAACTGTGTATGAGAGTACAAGCATACACACGAGTGCTAACAAATGTATGAGAGTTAACATATGTATGAGAGTACACGCATACACACGAGTGCTAACATATGTATGAGAGTTAACATATGTATGAGAGTACACGCATACACACGAGTGCTAACATATGTATGAGAGTACACGCATACACACGAGTGCTAACATATGTATGAGAGCTAACATATGTATGAGAGTACACGCATACATACACAGTCTACTACCGAGAACAGATCCTGCGTCGTTGGCTTCGCGTCGCTGAAACCCGGACAGTAGACACGCATCGGGTATCCCATTTTATCACCATCAAGTAGGCGCCTAGTCTTCATACCCACAATCTTACAAGCCGTCACTATGTTATATTGTTATTGCGTGTTACACCACCCTCACACTTCCGCACATGTTTGGTCACGCTATCGTAGGCATGGGTTGGCAGGAAGGGAAGGCGGTGGGCAAAACCAGCACCTCTGGACTAGTTGAGCCCATTATGTATGTCCCGAAGTTCGGGCGGGGCGGCTTGGGCGCCTCCATCACCATAGATCTACCGACTGATCCAAAGGGAAGGTACGTTGGTGATGATTCCAAAAAAAGCCCCAAAACCCTAAAAAGCCATATATATATATACGTGTTGCGCTTAGTGCTTAGAGGGAGATAGTTGGTCAAACAGAGACAGCTTGGGTAAGGTACAGCTGGCTTGACGCTTCCAATTGTCTGTAAGTGTATGATCGACACCTTGCCTATCACAGTACCGTGGGTGGGGTATGGCTGACGTATTGCATGTCACAGTGCTGCTTGTATTTCATATTGGACACGAGTGTTTACAACGGTACTCCCAAGTGTGAATCGATTTAGTTGTCTCTGAAGATGGGAGTATATGATAGTCCCTTGCAACACACAATGCAGATGTTTCTACTACACATGTGTGAGGTGCATGGACCACGTGTGTGTGTGTGTTTGCATGTCTGTGCACTGCGACCGGCTTTAGCTGGATATTTGCGGTGCTCTCCTGTTCATTGCGAAATAAGTGCGATATCCATCTGTTACTACAGGAAACGAATCCTCAAACCGGGACAAAAACGGGACGAGAAGAAGCAGTTGGTTGCTGCCGCCGAAGCAGACGGACGAGTGCGACACTACACCAAAGTGGGCGAGGCTCTGGTGGAGAAGAAGCAGTTGGTGTACGAGGTGTGTGCCGTGATACCGCTCTGTGTTGGTCAGGCTTGAAAATTTATCTGTGATAATGCCAAGCTTAGTGCAGAGGCATATATATATATATATATATATATATATACAACACACTACACACACACACACACACACACACACACACACACACATATATATATATATATATATATATAGTGTATGTAT